GGAGCAGAACTTTGGTTTAATCGTACAATAGTTTAAGGCAAAGGTACACAATCCCCTCCCACCCCCTCTTCACCCCGCCCTTCCTCCCTAAATGTGCCACGCTTTACGTGCAAATATTGTTGAACAGGTGGACGCCATCGGCGACAGCTTGTTCGGGACGCGGTTCAACCTCAAAGACGGTACCGTCCGAGGGCCGTGGTGCCCCGGAGGTGGTACGGCGGGGCCCCTCCTCCTCCGGCTCGCGCGCCACCGGCGACATCGTCTCTTCAATCAATGCATCGGCGTAGCCCGGAGCATAAACCGCCTGACACACCATCTGTTTTCCATCTCGAAACAAAGAAGAGCAAGGGGTAGTTGGGCGACGTACTTTCGACCGCCATCATCGCCAAATGCCAACGAAAGGACGACGACGACGCTGGAAGTGCTTACGGTCACGGAGCAGCCCGACGGGAGCTTGACGGTGGCATTGCCTCGCTGTCCGTCGGTTCTCGCCCCGGGGGGGGGCGGCGATTCGGCTGCCAAGGGGGGGTTCGTGGCGGCGGTAGCGGCAAGGGGGACGGTTCAAGAGGGTGTCAACCCCACCGAGGTTGACTTCGAACCGTCCCCCAAGCAGAACGCCTCTTACGCCTCTACGCTGGCGGCCAAATGCGACCTGGAGGGTTATGACTATTGATGAGTATACACACGACAGACACAATAGAAGTCAGCTGGACGAAAATTATAGAAGGATGGTTCAGGACCGTGAAGGAAAGTACGGGCGACGTGTAAGTAGCAAAGGTTAGGTTCTCACTGAGCGACGACAAGGTTTAAGTGTTGCACAGGATGTGGGGGTGTTGATTCAGGAAGGAGCTCGTGGACAGAGCAAAAGAAGGCAATCGAAGGACCGATGCCGCAACCGACTGCTCACGACATGCTTCTCTTCTTTCGTTGAGAGGATACAAGGGTGTCACCTCTCTTCCTCGCTTCACCGAATCGGAGCAGCACAGGAAAACATTGCACATATGCGAATGTGGTCATCTCGGAACAATTTTTCTAGCCCTCTGCTGCTGCTACGTGGCAACGCCCCGTGCTCGCTTCCACCCCTGCCTGTCGGTAAGCCGCGCAAGTTGAGGAAAAGGGCGTGTTTCCGCCCATGACGACGGGGGTGGCGAAACCAGTACCTCGTCACGAACCGCCGGTAAAAAACAGGAACAGACAAGCACAACCCTTAAAAAACGTACCTACCTCGGAATCAACGTTCATCACCCGCTACTAGGGGATGGAGGGGAACTTTCTCGGTCGATTTTTCGATCGATTTATTGACGGCCG